GGTATATAAACCCCTGGCAGGATTAAGGAAGATAGGCATTTTAGTTCAGGAGACAGTACAGTTCAGAAGTCATCAGATCCCTGTGTCTTGTGGTTAATCAAATACCCTGTGTATACTGCACATTTGAATAAAGACTATTTTTGTCTGGCAAAGACTATTAGTACTTAATCATTTCCAAACCTCAATTAAAAGGAGATGCACTTACATCTCTACGTTTCCAGGGATAACAAACTTATATTGCAGTGATAACTGTCCCCAATATAAATTGGTAGCAGAGCATGGTTTTGATCCACAGACCTCTGGGTTAATTTATATTGGGAACAGATTGTCACTGCGATAAAAGTGTTCAGCAACAAAAGATATGGAAAGGAAATGATTCTTCCTCAAATGATCCTGAACCATCAGGACACCCCATTGATTTTCAGAAAACCAAAGGGGGGCGTGGGCGTTTCTGAATTCGCCAAGGAAAAATCCAGCCCCGAAATAATAAGAGCACAAAACAGTCTGAGCACGTCTTCGTTTGGTACGTGGGTCACGCATTGATAGTCGAGAGTGAAATGAGTCGCTTAAAATTCCCGCACTTCAGTTCCTTCTCTATCTCTTTTTTTCTCTTTCCCGTTGATCCTTCACAATATTAACTTCCTTGACACCAAAACGATGTTCAGAAAGTTATTCGTCCGTTTCGTTCATCACTTTCACGCCTGCTTAAGTGGCCGGGGAAATCCGCTGGTGGAAAAAAACACATCGTGACTTTTATCTGGGATTTCGAACCGCAATCAAATATCGATAAAAATTACCGGACAATTTGCTCGACATTTTATTTTTCTACATGAATATATACTAGAAATGATCTGGGTAAGCTTAAAAAAAAAAGGAAAACTTGAACTTCCAGCACGTAATCATGCGGTTCCACTGAAAATGTCGTATATAATGGGAGTAAGAAAAAAATGCTTTCTATAATATTGTGGTTCCTTTTGAAAAACTCACATATTCTCAAAAAAAGTATTACCGCAGATTTTTGTCGACCAAATCCCAATATCTTCGTGCAAATTAAATTTAACAAGCAGAATGGAACATTTTGGTCACAGGAGTAACGGGATTTTTCCCGAAAAAATGCAGTTCTTGAATTCAAAAACCCGGATCTTTCACGTGGGAAGACTTTTATTTGGGATTTGGAACCGAAATAAAAAATAGATAAAATTTGCTCGATTTTTTTTACATGAATATATTGTATATGCGAAAAATGAGCTGCTTCAGCTTTTTCAAGAATGGGAAATTTTGAACTTTTTACGCTATCATGCGTTTCCACTGAAAATTTAAAGAGACCAAGAAAAAAATGCCTTCATAGAATATTGAGATTCCTTCTGAGAAACATACAATATATTGTAAAATTGTCTCCAGAAATGTCATGGCTTCTTTTTTCGACCAAATCAGCATATTAAATTTTCAAAGCCGACTGAAAAAATTGTATCGCAGAAGTAAAAGGATTTTTCCGGTAAATCACATTTTTCATCTTCAAATCAGTTTTTCATTAACATCTTGATTCAAGAATCTGAGACTTTCATCTGGGGAGACTTTTATTCGGGATTTCGAACCGCAATAAAACAAAATTAGGGAAGCTTTTCTCGAACTATTCTTTCTACGTGAATGTGCCCGCAAAACGAGCAGCGTAACCTTTTACACGAATGGGAAAATTTGAACTTTTTACGTAATCATGCGGTTCCGACTTTCATTCCATTCTCATTGTGAACGGCGCGCGGAGAACAATGGCAAATTGCGGTGGTGTGTGGCTTCAGCATTCCGGAGATAATTTTAATTGGCGCCTTTTAAATGGAACAAAAGAACGGAAGTTTCACTCAAGCGTTGGAAACTACTGTGAGACAAACAGACGACGTGCCATCATCAAACGAAAACCCAGTACAGTATTTCGACAATTATACCTCCTTCAGAAAATGGTCCTCCAATTTCATCCGCAATCGAAAATAATTAAGCCAATATAAAAGGCCGTTCTTTATAAGGAGCGATTTCCGTTCGTTCTACTCTTATTGATTTACACTGCTTTCGTAAATGCCAGGCAGATGTCACCCGATTATCTCCCTCGACCGAACGTCATGAACAGAAGCGAACGTTTGTGCGTAAATTATGCGAAGGAGAAAATCGGAGGATTAAGAAATTTCTAAATTGAAGCGGAAAGAAGAAACTTCGTCAAATTTTGGATCGAACAGACTTTGAAATACTCTTGTACATGACTAATGAAAAGAGGAAATATAGCGTTGACATCCGAAGTCACCTACAGAAAATCACCATTCGGTGTTTCAGTGAAATTAACAACCCGAATGCGAATGATTCTGAAGCATGATCCTAATTTTATTTACAGGAAATAGCTAATAATTTATTAAGTTTAAAATGTACAGTATTATCATGATCTGTGTGATGGAAATGCGCCTTTTAAAAATGGTCGATGATGTGAAATACTCGCATCTTCCAGAAGTAAATCCTTGCTGAAGTAGCAGAACAAATGAGAAGTGGAAAAATTCCACTGACACTCCAGCATCATTTACAGCAAAGAAAATCACCATTCGAAGATTCCGTGAAATGAAATAACTTATTTAATGCGAAGTGGAAAATACCGTTCACGGAATTTTCCACAAGACTTCGAAGCAGGATTTTAACATTTTTTTTAAGGACATACCCAAGAATTTTGCACATTTAAAATAAATCATCGTAATCGATGCAATATAAATGCGTGCTTTTAAAAATGGTCAATCATGCGGAATATAATCGCACCTTTCACAAGATAAATCCTGAAGTAGCTAATTTCTTTTTCAAAGGACATACTGTAACAAAGAATTTCGTCATTTAAAATGAATCATCGTAATTCAATGTGATAGAAATGCGTCTTTTAAAATGGTCATTCATGCAAAGTACTCGGTTCTTCTAAAGATAAATCCACGCTGAAGCAGCCTAATATTTTTTCAAGGACATGCTCCAGAATTGCGTCGGTTTAAAATGAATCATCGTGATCAATGTGCCAGAAAATGGTGCTTTTAAAAAAGGTCAATCATGCGAAATACTCGTATTTCCTGAAGGTAAATCCTCGCTGAAGTACCAGCGATGTGAACTCACTTCCATTCCATGTGAGCTCATGCATGCAATTGCGACAGCTTCGAAAGAACAAAAAATATTCACTGGACAATAAACCGCAGGAAGCATTCCGGATGCATACTGTACTTGACAAGAAAGAAAGAAGGAAAGAAAAAAGCCCAGAAAAAAATACTCCAAAGTGGTTCCTGTGCAATAAAGAGACTCAAAACTGGTCAAGAATAAAAACGACGAGACACCGGCCCACAGGGTATACACAGTACAGTAAAAAGAAACGAAAAACAGGAAGACACACGAACACAACAAAAAAAAGAGATGCGCTTCTTCTTCCTTCTTAATTTTTTTTTTATCCCACCATGTCTCGTTTCCGCCCGCGACTCCGCACTTCACGCAACACCGGAAACGTGGACTCGCCTCCGGGAAACACTTCCTTGTATCTCGCGAACACGGCTTTCAAAAAGTCTTGACTGATTCCCGGATGCGCACTCGTCACTGCTCGCTCAAGCACGTACAAGTCAACTGCTCGTTCCATCGGGGCAGTCGACGCTTCGGAGAGACCGAAATCGATGATGTAAAGGCGTTGATCCGGATCCAGCAACAGGTTCGACGTGGTCAGGTCCCCGTGGATAATCCCGTGGCGATGCAGGAGACCCACGATTTCACCCACGGAAGACCCCAGGTCGGATACGCTAGCAGTCCGGGTTTCTATGACGGAGGACATGGTTCGGGCTTCCGGGATTTCTTCGAGAAAGAGAACGTTTCGCTCGAGGTCCAGAAAAAGCACCGCTGGCGCCAAAATTCCTGAAAATTAAGATAAAAAATAAAGATCAAACACCTGCATATTGAAAAAAAATTACCGCTGGCGCCAAAGATCCTAAAAATTAAAATACAACAAAGTGCCATCATTAATTTGTCCTTTGAACATTTTGCAGCACTAAAGCAGGGATTCTATATAACAGCGGAAAATTTAGACTAGTTTGCATAATTTTTAGGCAAGTAAGTCTGTTCTATTAAAGAGCAATTAACAGGAAATAATTTAGAGGCACAAATGCACTGTTTCTTCGACATTTCAATTCATGTAAATGTACAGTATTAGTACAGAATATAATACATTTTTCCACATATTTGGTCAAGTTAAAGAGCAAAACTGTTTCTTGCAGTTTTGTATCAACCTTTCCAAGAAGAACACAAATCAAAGATCAGGTAGAGTGATTTTCAAAAAAAATTGTAAGAGGCTATATCCCAGATATTGAGAAGCTATTTGCTGTGGAGGACGTCCAAAGAAAGCCACCCAATTACACATTAATTCAGCAATAGAATTTTAAAAATCATCCCGAGCATGGGCATGTGATTCTCAGTAATATCCTACCAATATTCTCAGAAAAAGGCCTTCATTTATTCAATTTTGGCCTATTTTTCATTCCGGACAGGAAATTTGTTGAGGCACTAAATTTGAGAACACAATGGCGGGATATTTGTTCCAAGAAATTTGTGGAACTATGCGGGGGTGGCACTAAATAAAGGGTAAACCCGTTTAATATTTCCGTTACTAAAATTGTTTCCATGCAAGAAAAACTCGGACAGTACTTTTCTGGAAAAAAAGGAGATCAATTTGGTACGTTACAATTTTATCCAGTCAATCGCGGTCAGAGTTTCCATTTTGTCGTCGATTATCTCATCTAATACAAACGAAAAATTGTACGTCAGCCGTCGAAAATAACTCCTCCATGTGCTTCAGGGCATGAAAATTTGGAGGCGACAAGTTAAAGAAGAGGTAAATTATACCCCCTGTTACATGGTGCAAAAGCATGTTGTAACCGGAACCATTATAGTAACTGGATCGTTGATCACCTCATCAACCATTGTAAAAAATAAAATAAAATTGTATGGAGTACATTATTGCATATATAGGAACCGTGAACCGTTCACATCAGTACACTTTCAGGCATGCGGTTCGATGGACTTCGTCAAAAATTAAGCAACACAAGGTTAAAAACGTTTTTTTGTTGTTCTCCAAATTCCGATTTCGCAACTTAGCATGCTGCGATCCAACTCGATGTTTTCGTGCTGATATACACATGCCGCTTCAGTTGAATGTACAGTACAGTGATCATGAACAATTAAATTTTAAACATTAGTTTTGAATCACAATCCTTGAGCATTCAGGTCTTCATATACATTAGTAAAAATTTATTCCAGCATTCGTCCTCTTGTATTGTAGTTACAATACGAAGGGTGTCCTGTTTCCACGCACATTTAAATTTTGTCCTGTTTCCACGCGCATTTAAATTTCCCACTTTTCCGAAAAGATTTTCAAGCGAAGTGAAGCAGATTGAACATGATCAGATCGATCACTCGCCCCGAAAGAATGTCTGAGTAATTTCCGACATTTTAAATTGCTTTACTTTACCTATAAAGCCAAACTTTGTTCTCATGGATAGTTGCCATTCCATCAGGGACGCCAGCATTAACCCTTCCACCCACGCGTGACTTGAAATTTAATGATTTCTAAAACAATTTCCAGCAAGGTTCATTGCAGCCAAGAACCTCGGAAATTATAGACACAAACCCTTCTTCGATAACGCCTGCATGTCGCCAATGGTTTGAAAGGAATAGTTAAAAATTTGAAGAGGAATTGAGTGGAAAAATCAGAATGTTCTAGATTCTTACACGGATCGAGAGCAGAGAAACCCGTATTTCACGAATATATAAGCACCTCTTTTCCCCAAGTTCAAAAGGTAAAAAACTGGGACTTGCTTAATTCTTATCTTCACACATTTATGCGATTTGCGTAAACATGTGTCTATATATAAGGAAGTTTTCCTTTTCAAATGGCTCACAGAACTTATTTCTTCAGCTTTTTTGGAATTCAGGTTGAAGATAAATAAATAATGGTCAGCTTATAGCACTTTAATGAGTGTCAAGGGTTATTGTGATATGGTTTTTCCTGTTCTGGGGAAAACCTAAAATAGTCAGAAATTTTAGGTTCCTGGAAAGTCAAGACACCAGGAAAGTAAAGTAAGTGGGTGTTTACATTCGCCTTTCAATGGAATTTCAATTTTTGGCATGAAAAAATCTAGAGGGTGCTTATATTTTCGTAAATACGGTATGTTTCAATCAACGGAGAATTTGTGCCGAAGAAGTGCAGAAATAAAATCTGTCGAAAACCCTCGTATCTTCTCTTTCTTTCCTTCACCTTGGGTACTAGAAAAAAAAGCGACAGCAGCTATGATAGTCCAGACACACACACAAAAAAACATGCTTCATCAGTGAGTTGCTCAAAGATCCCGAGATAGATTACCAACACTCGCATTTCAGCAGCCGTAATCGCAGAGAAGAAACGCATTTGCAAAAAAAAAAAATGTTAACGTTCGGAAACAACAAATGACATCCCTCTAATATTCATCTGCGGTTTAGCAACCGAATCGCTTACGAATCCCAAGTCAGAATAGAAAAAGGTGATTTATTGAAATACGAACCTAATGCTCTGGCTTTGGCAAGATTTCGGGCCTCAGCCCGCAACCGGTCTTTGGTCAAAATCTCGTCGAGTTCCGGGTGGCGGTATTTCTTGGGAAATCGCTCCTTGGCCAAACACTTCATTCCGAACAATGTTCCACTCCAAAGCTTCGCTTCAGCACCCTGCTTCACCACTTGAAAGCCCAATTTACTCATGGAGTCGTACGGCATGATGACCAGAACACGACGGTGATAAATCTCACGCGCACTTCATTAAAAAATAATAAAAAACCTTGAGGGAAATAAAAACCCCCCAAAAAAATGTCATGAGAAAGATATTTCAAAATGATCTCGAACAAAAAAATTGAAGAGCGCCTCATGAAATGTTCATTAGCTTCACAAAAAAAAAAACAGGGAATGCAATCACACGTGCGGACTCCATCCAGAAAAAATCCTTGCCAAAATAGAAATATCTGTGGCCTGATCTATCAGGCAATCGACCTGAAAAACAAGAGGAAAAATAATAAAAAAATTAGCCAATTCCTCAGTTTTGAATGCAACATCGCCTTTCATTTTCAAAATAAATAAACATTCTTATGTTTAAAAATCAAAACGAATTAAAAAAAAATTTAAACACCCGACTTGGGAGTTACGGTACTTGCGCGAATTAATCTGACGATTTCTAGTTTTTTAAAAACTAATGCGTAAACAAAATAATTTACGCAGATTCGTTTCCAGGCAACTTCAGGAAACTTGAAATATATTTCAGTCCTCTTCAGGGGCCAGGAATTGCTGAATTATTGAATCTATCTAATTATCAAGAGTAATGACCCAAAGAAATGTATTCCGATGAACTGAAAAACCAGCGATTGTCCAGACATGAATTTTTTTCCGCTGCCATGTTTTGTCCTTACTTGATAATTTACGCAAAAACAGAATAATTTACGCAGATTAGTTTCCGGAACGCAGCAGGAAATGTTCAATATTTCGGTAATCTTCACGAAGATCAATAACTACAGTATTTAATCATTGGATCCATCTAATATTCAAGAGGAATAACCCAAAATAAACTTTTGTTCCGGGGAACTGAAAAACCAGCGGTTGTACAGACATGAAATTTTTTTTCGCTGCCGTGTTTGTCCTTCTAACTGAGAACATTAAAACCAATTTAACCTATCATCATGGCTATAAATGACCAACCCTAAAACCAGTCATAACCCCAAATCGAACCTAATTAAAAAAAATTCAACATTTTCCGCATTCTGATTGAGTATTTTAAAGCAATTTTTCATATTTCAGCGAACATAACATACTTGCTCTTCTGCGGAAAGCCCACTCGACGGATAAGCGTTCCTCAAAGCGCTTTTCCTGAACAATACTTTGCAATACGCGGCACAATTCTCCTTGTTATGTTTCCCCATCAATAATTCCTGCCGCGTAATGGACGCCGGATTGGCTCCATTCAATTTATCTCGCACGAAACCNTATTGACAGCGCACAACAACAACCAGTCGCGAGTGCTCGGGCACGAATGCTGAAGAGAACAGAGAGACACACAGAGTTAAAGAACCGCGGTCAGCTTTGCTGACGGAAGAAATAATACACACACACGTTCCAGAATGAGGACAGCGATGCTTCTATTGCTGGCCTCGAAACTCAAGCTAATACAAGGGCAAATAAGCAAGTTTGGTAAAGCCCCTTTTTTGGGTGGAAATGAAACACATGGAAATATTCGGGAGCCTGCATACGCAGCGCTACACCAATAAAAATACTTCGGGATCACAAATCACCCCCCACAAAGAGAATACCAAGCTCCCGCGTTCAAGTGCACTGAGCTCATTAGTTTTATGGCAGCACGTTTCCAATCCGGAGACGTGTGGAAATGCATGAAGCATGCATGACAAATCCTGCCTTCCTGGTAAGGTACACCAGCCTGGGGTGACAACACTGCAGCTGAGCTGCTAGTCTGGGGTTGATATTCAAGATGTCAACCTCCCCAGATGTCAGTTGGTGGGTATCAGGTGAGGTTGTGATTGATCCCATTTCCTTTGATCTGTGTTTCTAAAGGAGTTGTCAATGCTAATGATTTGTATGGGCTCGAGTTTTTTCGGCGAAATTTTGTTCTCGGCGTAGTATTCTTTTCGTGCGTCGGCAGCCTCGGTGCGGTCGCGGGAATTCTGATTCCTTAGTTTTCGCGTTACGATAAATTGAATTCGCGATAATCGGCGAAAAATAAACACGTGGTTCACAGTGAAAATCTTCAGAATTGTTGAATTTTCGTGTTTTTGTAACCAACTCGTTTCTTAGAAAAGAATGTCTTCGGATCGTGGTTTGCGAGATAGCGGTTTCGGAATTCAAGCGATTCGCGGGTCGGATCTAGCGAGTTTTTGTAATTTTAACATTCCTCTCACAAAGGTTTCTTGTTTTTCTGATGTTTTGAGTTGGTGTAGCCAGTTAGACGCCAATTGAAAGCTACTTTTTAAGTGGAAAACGAATCAATCGGCGGATTTGGAGATTTCGCAATTTTGACCAAAATTTGCGAAAATGAGATGTTTCGGAGAACTTCTGCCATCTTTTAATGATGGTTTTCTTCTTTTTAGGTTTGAAAGAAAAGGTTCCTGCGAAAAAATCTTCGAAGAGCCGTGAAAAAATCTTGCGCTTTGCTTTAACATGGTAAGTCCCTTAGGGCATGTTTTGAAATCGCGGATACACAAAATTTTCACAATCTTTCAGTTGAAGTTGGTTGTTTTGGCCTTCCTGATGGGTTTCCATTTGGTTTCGGCAAAGTGCGGTGTTCAAGATGGCGCTTTCGTATGCTCAAATGTGTGCGATGATGACGTTACCGATTTGGAGGCCTTCGGGTTCAGGATCGATTTTGTTGGTCGTATACTGGACTTGAATTGTGTTTGGTTTTACGGGTTGATGGTGAGTTAACACAGATGTCGCCGGCACGCAGGTGTAAAAAGTTTTTTGTTTTTGATGGCAGGGCGTGAAGCTGTACGCCTGTACTAAGTGCGTCGGGAAGATCACGGCCACGGTTCGAAAGGTCGTTGATCCGTGGGAGTTGTGCGGTGGGGTGTTTGATTCAAACCCCGCCAAGGTGTTTAGAACTCGCACCTTT